CCGTGGTGGGGGCCAGCGGCGTGGGCAAGACTGGTGAGTCGTTGCGCCGAGCTCCGGGCTGGACGTGGGCGACCCCCTCTGGGAGCGGGGATCAGCGAGGCGTGGGGAGGGGGGAGCTGCAGCTGGACCGCGCGTCCCCTCCCCTCCTCCAGGAGGGACCTTAGCCACTGTCGCCTCCGTCCTTCCTGCTCCCTTCAACAAGTGAGGCCAGTCGGGATCCAGAATGGCCAGGTGACTCCGGGCACCACCAGCTCAATTAGGTTAGGACTTTGGGGTTCTGGAGTCTCTGGCAGCGCCTGGCACAGAAAAGAGACTAGGTGGACCTCAGCTCTCCTGGACATCCTTAAGGTTAGGAAGACGTTTGTCTGCTGGGAGATTAGGGGCTCAGCCTGGCTGGGGGCTTGGGGCTGCAAATGACCCTTCCAGCTGGACGGAGCCGTAATTTATGGTGCCTTCCAGCCCCTTCCGTCGTGTCTGGAGGAAGGGTCAAGGAGCCACGGGTAGGAATTTCACTCGGTGGCCGTCGGTGGCTTTCTTGGGGAGAGTCGTGCTCCGGGCGGGGGGTGGAGAGCAGTTGGGCTTCCAGGGCTAACCCTCTTCCTTTTCTGCCCGGCAGCCCTGGTGGTTCGGTTTCTCACCAAGCGCTTCATCGGCGACTACGAGAGAAACGCAGGTGAGGGAAATGCTGCGTGCCTGGAGGCCTGCTGCCCCGTTTCTCATGCCCTGGCCCAGGTTCCTTCAGGGTTCCTTCAGAGTGACCGTCAGCGTCAGGGTCCTGCCAGGCGACTTTGCATGCCCCTCCTTGCCGGCCCACAACTGCCATCTGGCTTCATTCCACTCCCAACCCATTCATCATTTTATCAAGGGCCTGAAAGTATTCCCCAGTATGTTTTAACTAGCGGGACCCCAGCTGGAAGCACCCTTTGTACTCAAGAGCCTCTCCCTTCAAATCACTTCTGCAGAAGTCATAAAAAGGCGGCCAGCTCCTCCCCCGCCCCTCTTGCTCTGCGCTGCCTTTCAGAGCTGACCTTTTAAAGCCAAGGCCAAAGCAGAGCAGTTGTAAACCTAAAGTTCTTTTCTTAACAAAGAAAAACAACTCCATGGTAGAATTTTAGGAAAAGAGTTCCTGGGATAAATGAAAGGACAAGTATTTCAATGTCAAAGGATTAAGAAGAGCCACATGGAGGCTCCAGCCTTCCCGGTGTGCCCAGTTAGCTAATTGCTGAAATCCATAGACCCCGTGTGGTGACTGTAGGGGATTATTCGAAATGGGCCCTGTGAGCCACCCCAAGGCAATGGAGCCTGATTTTCGTTAGGGCTCATGTTCACTCTGCCTGGGAATGCCAGCTCCGCATTTGCTAATGATACCTGGCTACCAACCATGATAGCAAATGTCCAAAATAGCAAGCTATGGCCAAAGCATGGTAAAGTGCGAAAATAAAACAAATCTCACATCCCCTGCGCAAGAAAATTTACTGGAAGGAAATATTCTAAATATGGAAACTTTGTTTAAAATTAGACTAATAAGCTTCCAAAAACTTGCAAACTTTGCCCTTGTGTTTATAAATCTACTCACATGTGGTTAAGATTGCAGGTGGTTTAAAAGAAAATCTGAAGTGAGTCCATTAAATACAAATAAACTATAGGTTATTTTATTTATTTATTTGGGCAGTTGTTGCTGGCTATGCTTTTTCTCCCCACCTTAAAAAAGAAATCCAACGATGCTTTACGAGTTGTGCAGGAAACACAAACATTTCTTTTTCTTCGCCTTCCTAGGTAATCTCTATACCAGACAAGTCCAGATAGAAGGTGAAACTCTGGCTATTCAGGTCCAGGACACTCCAGGTATTCAGGTAAGAAGCTCTCGGATGGGTGCACGTGGCTGTGAGGTTGTGCACTTGTACCCCCTGCTGAAGGAGGAGAGAAATGGGGGGTCAGCTCTAGACTCTTACGTGCGGTTTGACTCTTCAACTGGACCTGGCTCTTGGTCGTTCTGAGCCTGGCTTAGTTTGGGGGATTTGGCTAACAGGCAGAAATCCTTCCTTAGGAGAATTCAGCCCAGCAGGAGAGACCAAACCAAACGTTCTTGGCATTGGCTAAGTTTCCTTGCTGTGGTTAGAAAGGTCAGTTTTTACACATGTGTCTTTGGCATTACAAACCAAATGTCTTGATGTAGTCTCCAAATACTTGGAATCGCGTTTGTGTTGTGGAAAGTTACTCTATAGACAAGAGCCGTGCGAGTGAGGGAGTGTTTTTTTTTTTTCCCTTCCTGAACTGGGCAGTTATCCAGGTTTAAATGTTCGCAGCTCCTATCTTTCCTTCCCCAGACTTACTGTCTAGCCAGTTAATTTCCCATTTTGTGCAACTACAAAGTCTCCCTGCATGCCGCTCTCTGCAGGTCGATTTTCCACTTGAGTGTGGTGAGCTGCACTGTTATTTATCCCACCCCCATGCAGCTGGGTCAACATACTGTCCAGAAAGCCCAAGTGCGTGAGGACGTTCATGTTTATGGCCTACGACCTGGTGTTACTGTGAAGGCTCTTTCGAATTCAGGATCCAGCCAGCCAGGGCACTTTTTTTTTAGGTGTCTTTTTTTTTTTTTGCCATAGGGCATGTGCATGGTCCAGAGAGAGGGAAAGTGAGACCATTTCCCAGGGGGAATGGCCATGCCATAATCCCTTCTCCATTCTCTTAGTGGAATTTTAAGTACACATGTACATGCACCCAGTGTGATTTTCAAGTTGCCAGGTCTGGGACTCAAACCTCAGTTGGCCATGTGGGAGTCCAGCGCCTTAACAGCCATGCTCACTAGGGCTCTTTTTGACACTGCGGTTCACCTTGCCGTCGCCGCTCTCTTTCAGGTCCACGAGAACGGCTTGAGCTGCAACGAGCAGCTGAACAGGTGCATCCGCTGGGCAGACGCTGTGGTGATCGTCTTCTCCATCACCGACCGCAAGAGCTATGAACTCACTGGCCAGCTCCACCAGCACGTCCAGCAGCTCCACCCGGGTGCCCGGCTGCCTGTGGTGGTCGTGGCCAACAAAGCTGACCTGCTGCACATCAAGCAGGTCGACCCTCAGCTCGGACTGCAGCTGGCTGGCGTGCTGGGCTGCTCGTTCTACGAGGTGTCCGTCAGTGAAAATTACAATGATGTCTACACTGCCTTCCACATCCTGTGCAAAGAAGTGAGTCACAGACAGCAGCCCAGTAGCACGCCCGAGAAGCGGAGGACCTCCCTCATTCCCAGGCCCAAGTCACCCAACATGCAGGACCTGAAGAGGAGGTTCAAGCAAGCTCTGTCTGCCAAAGTGAGGACTGTCACCTCCGTCTGAAGCAGGGGCACTTCAGGGCTTTGGTCTTCCAGGAAGAGGGCCTGAGGTTCTTCCGGGGCAGGAACATTGAATGCTGACTAATTCACCTTCCGGGGAGGGCCAGAGCAGAGGGGCCGAGAGGGCCTGTGGAACTGCAGCAAGCACTGTTCTGAGCACGGGCAGAACTGAGGAGGCCTGCAGGAGCCCGGGCTGCCCCCTGGAGGTGTGGGATGGCCTCTGGGTCTTCTCCACTGGAGAGGAGAAGTGAGCAGAACTGCTTTGGTTTTTGTCTTCACTACCTTGGAAAATGCCAGTGGTGGTTTTACCAAATGCATTGATGTGGTTCATGGTGGGGATGAGAACAGAGGAAGTGTTCAGGGGCTGCTTTTCCTTCTCTCTCCCCCCTTCCTTCCTTCTTTCGTTCATCCCGAGAGGAAGAATTTCTTTCCTCTGTAGGATTTGCATCTCTGGAACTTGATTCCTTGTAGAATGCCTTTCTAACCTGAAGGTTACCGCGTTATCTTTCTTCAAGAACAAGAGGGAGAACCTTCTTCTTGCCCAGAACATCGAGTTTAAGGGCAAGACTGTCCTGTGCAGAGACCTCTAAGCTGCATGGTCCGCGGGAAAGCACGGTCCCCCCGCCATGGGCTGAGGGCGTGTCCCTGGACGTGTGTTGAGTAGTCGTGAACATAGACTTCACAGACTGCCTCATTGAGAGATTGTATAGTTTGTTCTTATTTTTAACTGTTGTGTCAGGCCCAGGAAAAAAAGCGTCGATTGATTTGGCTGTGATTGGAGTCAGTGGCTCACGGCGATGACGTTGGGTTGCTTCCTTGGCCTGCCCGCGCAGGGACTATGGGTGGCTAAATACAGAAACATATCTTACAGTGACCGCACAGATGCCGGGGCTCCCCGCCAAATCCCCTACACAGATGCACTTTAAATAGCCACTCATGCTTTGGCTTAAACTGTAATTAATTTATTTTATGTACAATAAATCTCATTTTAAAAGAGCAGACATCTGAGTTGGTCCTTAATGAAACGTTAACCTTCTTCCCATCAGACAATTACTCAATGTCTTGTTTTTATGGGGCCTGTGGAATCGGGCATTCTGCCTTGCAGGGGTCTGAGCCGGGGAGGTGCACTCCGTTATCCCCTTCTCACAGCGGGAACCGAGGCGCGTCCACGGCCGGCGAGGGATGTACATTGTAATGCTGCTTTATAGTCGGCAGGAACATTTTACACTTTTTAGGTTCTCACCATAGGGCAACTGCACTTGCTGGAGAGAGGCAGTGAGAGGGAAAGTGAGAAAGCAGCGCCCCAGGGGGGATGACCACACTGCAACCCCTTCTCCCCTTTTCCATGCTCTTTGGATTTTGGGCACATTCCCGCATGCCCCTGGCATGATTTTCAAGCCTCTGGGCCAACCATGTGATCCAGTGCCTTAACCACCACACCATCTGCTGGCCCCTTCCTTACGCACTTGTGTATCTTACATGGTCTTCAGGTAAAACTAAGACAAAGGTGTAAATCTTGGAGCAAGGCCATGAGTAAATAATTGAGTCTTCACAAGATTCCTTAGACATGTGCTCTCCTCTCTCTCTCTCTCTCTCTCTCTCTCTCTCTCTCTATATATATATATATATATATATATATGATTTGTTTATTTTAAATTTTATTTATCATTCTTCAGTTTTTTGGTTTTTTTTGAGAGATTTTCGCTATAGGGCGCGTGCGCCCGCCAGACAGAGACATAGAGACAGAAAGCGAGAAATCACCCCCCAGGAGGGATGGTCACACCGCAATCCCTCCTCCTCCATTCTCCTCTCGGGATCTTGGGCACGCACGCACATGCACCCGGCGTGAGTTTTAAGCCACCGGGTCCGGGACACGAACCGCGGTCGACTAAGTGGGAGTCCAGTGACAGCCATTACGCTAACTGCTGGTTCCCATCATTCTTCAGTATTGATCAGAGAGAAAGGGAGAATGAGAAAGCAAGCCTCCAGGTTTGGGATTTGAACTGTGGTTGACCATATGGGAGCCCAGCAACTCGACCACCATGCCACCTGCTGGCCTCTATATTTTTAAGTTTCTTTTTTTTTTTTTTTCCCCCTTAGGGCACATATGCTTGCTGGAGAGAGAGAGGGAAAGTGAGAAATCTTCCCCCAGGGGGAATGGCCACACTGCAATCCCTTCTCTTCCATTCTCTTGGGACGTTGGGCACACACACACACACACACACACATCTGGTGTGATTTTCAAGCTACTTGGGTTCAGGACGCAAACTGTGGTTGGCCATGCGGGAGTCTAGTGCCTTAACCACCATGCTAACTGCCGGTTCTGAATCCTTTAGCTGGTAAACCTCTTTGGGTCTGCTGCTTTCAAAAAATACACTTTATTCTCATTGAATCTGCATGCAGCCATCAGTCCAGGAGTCACGCTGGGGTGCTTTTGCCCCTAGGGTACAGGCTGAAAGGGACAGGCCGCATATCTGCTTCCATCTGGGCCTGGGACCTTACAGGCAAGCCAAGTGAGTCACCGTCTTCATGGGCAAATAATCACCTCATGTCTGAGCAGTGCTCTCACACACCTGATCCTGTTCAGTCCTCGGGATGGTCCTGTGGGGTGGAGGGGCACCAAAACCATCTCACGAAAGAAAAGAGGCTGAGTGTGGAGTAGTGGTCTTGGCACAAACCCAGGAGCTGAACTGGGTCTTCTGCTATCCGCGTCCCTGCCCTCCCTGCCCTTCCACGTGTAAGGCAGTGTGACCCGTGTGGTGGCACGGCCCGGAGAGCGCCTGCCTATGCAGGGTCTGCTAGCGGTGGCGCCCGGCTTCCGCCTGCTTCCTAAGGGTGCATGTCCGACTCTGGAGGGCCTGGGGGTGCCTACCCCTGCTATGTGCAGGTGATTCCCCCACTTGCAGCCTAGCCTCACCCCGAGAAGGGTGTGTGTGGGTGGGGAGGGACTGGCGCTAACACCAGGCTCACAATGTCCCAATCCCAGGGCAGGAACGAGCTCCAATGGGCTCTCCTGGCTCTCATTCCTAACTGCGGCCTGCTCTCCCCACAGCAGCGCGTGGCGAGTGAGGGTTATGCATTACAGACTCACCTGTGGTCTGTCGCCCATGTCCTGGGCTGCAGACACGGAGGAGACAGAGTCCTGCCATGTGACCAGTGCACACTGCCCCTGCCTTCCATCCCCACCCCTCTGCAAACCCGCAGCCTCTCTGCCCCTTTTGCCTCCTGCTAACTGCAGCTGTGCCTCTCACCTCCCAGCCCAGCCCCCACTTCCCAGCCCCGCTCCCACCTCCCAGCCCGGCTCCCATTCCTCCTCGTGTCCTTCCCTGTTCTAGACTCAGTCTCTCCCACTTCACCTTAGACAGCTGCCAGGGGTCTCAGAGCTCTAGTCCACCCAAAGGTAAAGAGGTTTGTTTGGCCACT